AGCCAAAGAAGAGCTATCACCTTGACCCCAGGCCTGCACTCCAATATTTGTTCCTCTGGAAAGCCTTGTCCATCATCCTGCCCCCACCTCATTTCCACTTCATCTACAGCACTTGAGCTAGAAACAACCTGGATGTATATTTGTGTTCATGTTCACTATCTCTCTCCCTCTAGAATGTGAGCATCTTCAGAAAGAAACCCTGCAATAGCACCTGAAACAACAACAACTATACTCTCGATCAACAACTATCAGAGATCAGTATCGCTAAGGCCTGGGAAGAGGCAATAGTTGAAGTGGGTCTTGTAGAACCCAGGAGTCTGCCAGAGAAGGCTTGCACACCTAAGCTTCAATGTTAAACTGCCACATCCTATCACATGAATGCCTTTAATGTTTACTGCTTTTGACTTCTATGTGCAAATATCTTTTAACTCATGGGGTTTACGTTTCTTTCCTCACCATAACAAGTTTTGAAGAACTCAGTTTCCATTATTATCATAAAAATCTTTCAGGGGGGTAAAATCCCTACCCTATAATCTGGGTTCTTACTGAGATTCATTTTTACTTAAAACTCTCTCAGTAACTATATTTTGGTTTAACACCTTCAAAGAAGCTGACCTAACCAAACAGATTCAATAAACTAGGCTTACTAGGAGAACTTTGGGAACTTCAAGTGCTTGATCACTTTAGAACCTTATTTTTCTTAAATTCAAGTGAATCAAGCTAATTTTCAAGTTAATGTAATGGAATAATGGAAGTATCACTTATCAAAATAATCAAAATTCTCTCGCATTAAAAAAATTCAATGTTTGTTGTCGACTGAGTGGCAAAAGATCAAAATAACATAAAACAACATTTTACTCTGAATGAGAGAGGCAGAGGAAGGTGTCTATTAATATCTTTAACTCCTGGCAAATACTTCCTCAGAGACTTACACCCATTCCCTGCTTGGTAGTAGGACCATTTATAGCCTCATCAATTTTCTGGAAGACAGGATCTGGGTAGGGAAAGGCAGCCGTCATCATATATTCAGTAACTAACCACTGAGATAGGGGAAGGATATACACTTTGATTCTAGAAAGGATCTTAGAGAGGTAATCTGCCAACCTCTCAATCAACAGGAAAGGACCCCAATGCCCAGAGAACAGACATGATTTTTTCTCAAATCCAGTCAGTAGAACTCAGGTATCCCAACTCAATTTGGCATTGTTTCTACTATCCATGGGCATCTCTCTTCAGGACATCAAAATTTTATAAATACAGCCAAAATGTTCAGAAGAGGAGAACACTCATGAAACAAAAACCAAGACTAGAGGGGTACCCGGCAGGATCAGTCTGAGGTGCATGTGACTTGATGATCTCAGGGTGGTGAGTTCCAGCCCCACATTGGGTGTATAGATTACTTAAATAAAACTAAACAAACACTTAAGGAATTCTGACGCTTAGCCCCAGACATGAGAACTTAACACATCCTCTGTACGTTCTCAGTTGTCTATCAGAGATGCTCTAAGTTTGGCTGTCTCATGGTTTCAGGCAGCTGAAAGTGATTTTCTCAGTACTAACTTGACATTCTAGGTCCCCATCCAGTTTTAAAGAATAAGCAATATTACAGGGATGCAGAGGACCAACTTGGTGAAATTAATCCAGCAAGGGAAAGTAAATCAAAAGGCTGAAGATACCCGCTGGTTTAGCAAAGTACAAGAGAAGTGCCAGTCAACACCTGAACACTGTTTTTAGTCTCCAGAGACTTTCAAGGTCAATGGCAACAGAAAAAATCTGGGCCATGCAAATTTCTTTTGTCATCTGAGTTCAATGAGATTGGTTCTGAACGTTCTTGCCCAGCTGTCTTGAGTCATCACTTTCTATTCTTCGCTAAAAACATTTTAGAAAAACATTTTAGGAAAACAGTATCTCCTAAACTACAAATTTCATGGGATGGAAGAGGCAGAGGAGAGAATAGAACACAATGTAAAAAATACTATCAGAGAATCTTTATTAAAAATGAGCCAAAATGGCCAGGGGCACCTGGCTCAGTTAGAAGACCATACAACTCTTGATCTCTGGGTCATGAGTTTGAGCCCCCCATTGGGTACAGAGATTACTAAAATAATAATATAAAATTAAATTTTTTTTTAATTTTAATGAACTAAGATGAATTAGTCAATTTTGACAATATGGGCAATACTCATATGGTCTATACCCATTTTTACTGATGTAAATAATAACTTTACAGGGAGCTATTTAGGTCTTCTACATGGTAAACCAGAGCATTTGAGCACGCAATTTTACTAAAAGCTGAAATTATTTAAATTCTCAAATGATTGATATTAAGCATGATGGTTTTTCTTTTCTTGAAAACGGTCTTGCAACAGGGTATTCCACTCATTTTGTTGGAAATTCAAAACCCAGACAAAGATCCATTGTCAGAGAGAATGTCACTCTGACAAAAGAAGGCCACAAGTTTTCTTCTTTTGCAGTAATTAAAACAAGCAGACAATTGGCTAGATGAGGGAAACATTGCTGTCATGCAAATATTTGTGTTATATCATTATTTATCATATGGTAGTATAATTTGGACTCCACACATACGTATGGTTCTCCATCTTCCAAAAATCAGTGAATAAACAATTGAATGGAAGTTTGTCAGCTTTCAAGTTATAGTTGAAACTATATAGTTTGAGAACTGGACTCAGTGAACCATTCAACACCAGGGCAATGACAAATTCAATGTACAACATATGCTCTCATTAATTAATATGCATAATGGTCATCTTGACCACCCCCCATAATGATATTCCTTTTTGGAGTACATTAATTTCATGTAGCAAATACACTGTTAAAATTACTTGAGAGGAGCACCTAAGTGGCTCTATGGTTGAGCCTATGTCTTTGGCTCAGGTTGTGATCCTGGGGTCCTGGGATCAAGTCCTGCATCAGGCTCTCTGCAGGGAAGCCCGCTTCTCCCTCTACCCATGTCTCTGCCTCTCTGTGTCTCTCATGAGTAAATAAATAAAATCGTTGGAAAAAATTGAGACAAGGATATTAAAATCTGCATCTGTCTTCAGACCACACTATGGACAGCATCCCAAGGGAATATGAGTAGTAAGTACTTAAGCAATAGTCATTGCCTTGATTTTTCCACAGGGCTCCTAATCTAGGTTGGGTCAGTCAGAAAATGTTATTCAGTTTTGAAATACCTAGGCAAGTGTTGCTTTTAAGTATTTAATATGATAAAGAAGGTGATAGAATCCTTTTAATCCTTTATTAACACTCCTCTGGTTGTCATCATCTCCTCAGGAAGCCTTTAAAACCAAAACACACCAAGTGACCAAGAGAATGCGTGCAGTCAAGAATACATACCCACAAACTGAAGAGACTACTTAATTTTGGCTGGGTCCTCATCTAGCCAAGACAGGGAACGCTTCTGGTAACAATGACTAAGTAGAGAGAAACTCAACTACTTTCAGGACTCCTCGGTGGGGCTAAAGCAATTCATTAGAGGTGAACCGGAGATGGAAGGGCACAGCCTGCAGGTAACAAGCATGTAACAAGCCATGTTGCTTGTGTCCTCATGTATAAAATGGGCATAATACCTTCAAATCATAATATAAGAATTTGATAACAGAAAAACAGTTGGTTCAGGGCACCTGGGTGGCTCAGTTGGTTGAGCATCCAACTCTTTGTTTCAGCTTGGGTCATGATCTCAGGATGGTGAGACTGAGCCCTGCGCCGGGCTCCTCACTCAGCAAGGAGTCTGCTTCAAGATTTCTCTCCATCTGCCTCCCCCTCCACTTTCTCTCCCCCTCCCCCCGACTCAAATAAATCAATCTTTTAAAAAGAAAGTAAAATAGTTGACTCAAAGTTCGGTTTCCTTTCCCTGTCACATCAATATTGCTATGACTACATGGAATGTGCCATTTGCATTAAGAAAGATGCATGGAAGCAAACTTTATGCAAACATGCAGTCAGCATATGCTTGGGCTCTGGCTCATTTTTAGGTGCTCTCTGGACCTGGAAATGAATTCTATACTACTAGTAAGGCCTTTTCACCCTGAAAGGAAGGAAGAATAAATACAGTATTACAGGAATTCAAGGATGACCCAATATAGAGCCAAGCAGTCCCTTTGAGTGAAGCATGGTTGACATTGTAGGATTACTAATTTATAATAGGCCCCAACTACTCATTCCAGCAGCCTCTACCATTGTAACTAGCTACTTCCAGTAGGGTGGGGAGGCAGGAGAGACTGACCTTGATTTACCTCATTACCAACCAAAAGTGGAAAACCCTTTAGCACAGTGATTCTCAATCTTGGCTGCACATAGGATCACCTGGGGGAGCTTTTAAAGCTCCAACTGCCCAGATCACACACCCCAGACACCTGAATATGTGGAGGCTGAGTGCAAGCGCCCGTAATTTTTTTTTGAAGTCCCCAGTGACCCAAGGTACAGCAAAGGTTGAGAACCCCTGTCTAGCATCCCGCCTCCTGACCTCATGTAACTTCTGCCGCAAGCCAGACTAGGAAAGCCAACCTCGAGCATTTCGCAACCACAACTTCTAAGTAGAGCCGGTGCGACAGGGTCCCAAAGGCTGGAGCATCACCGATGCCTGGGCCGAGGTCCACACAGAGGGCCGAACAGAAAGCCTACCAGCAAGGGGGTTACCCAGATCCTCATCTGAAAGCCACCTTTTCAAACAGTTTGCACTAAAAACAAGCCAAAATCCCAAACTCACCCATCTTAAGAGATGTCACAGAAGCCTGCTGGGATTTTTTCCCCCCTTTTAAAGACAAATGTCTTGGGAGAGAGAGTCTATGGGGGAGCGCACCCCCTCACACACACACACACAGCCTGTAGCAAAGCAGACAGAACCGCACAACCCCCAGGGCCGCCCAGAGAGCAGCCGGTGAGGTCCCCGGCGCAGCGCAGGCGGGCGCGCGGGCCCGTGGCCAGTGCACCTGCCGTGGCGCCGGGCCGCACCTGCCGGCCGGGCCCTCCCCGCCTACCTTCCAGCAGCTCGTCCAGGCTGGTGACCTTGCGGCTGCCGTCGATGGTGTAGATGGTGCGGACGCCCTGCGGCAGGTTCACGTTGTCCGACAGGGAGCGGGTGAGCTCCATGAGCAGCGCATCGAAGGACCGGAAGCGGTCGCCGGAGATGGCAAACAGCAGGCCCTTGAAGTAGCGGTCCCCGTTCCGGTAGAAGCGCGCCTTCTTGGCCTTCTTCTCGGAGCTCAGCGCCTGCAGGGTGCGCGTGCGGTAGAAGCTGCAGTGGGCGCTGTGCGCCGGGCTGGGGATGAGCCCGTTCCCCCTGGGGCCCGAGCTGCTGCTGCCCCCCGAGGAGCCGGGCGCCCCTCGCCGCGACCCGGGCCGCGGCCTTTTGTCCCGCTCCTCGAAGTGCTCCAGCTCGATGCTCCTGGCGCTGGCCATCGCCGCTGCGCCCGGGGCTGCCCCCGGAGCCCGCCGCAGCCCAAGCCTCCGCGGGGCCTGCTGCCGAGGCGGGGAGCGGCCCGGGGACGCCCGCCCGCGCGGGGCCTGCGGGCGCCGGGACACCTGGCCGGGCACCTGGCCGGCACCTGGCCCGCACCTGGCCGCTCCCGCAGGTGGGGCCGCCGAGGAGCCGGACGGCCCGCGCCCCGCTCAGGCGCCGCCGCCGCGTCCCGCCGCCCCGCTCATTGTCCGGCCTCGCTCGCTCGCGCCCGCCCCGGCGCCCCCCGCCCGCCCCGCCCCGCCCCCGGCGCCCCAGCCCCGCCCCGAGCCCGCGCGGGGAGCCGGCCCGCAGCCGCCGAGCCGGGCCCGCGGGCGCACACAAAGCTCGGCGCCGGCCGCGGCTCCCGGGAGGCCGGGGGAGGAAGGAAGAGGAGGGGGAGGAGCCCGGAGCGTGGGAGAGGCGCCGCGGGCCCGCGGGGAGCAGGCCCTGCCCCGGGGGCGGCGCGGACGCGGGCTGCGGGGGGCGGCGCGGGGCCCGGTCCTCAAGGGGAGCCGGCCCGCCTCCCGCCTCCCGCCTCCCGCCTCCCGCCTCCCGCCTCCGCCCCCTCCCCGCCCCCGCCCCCGCCCCCGCGAGCATCCGCGCGCGGCCCCGGCGCCCGGCAGGAGGGGCGGGGAGGGGAGGGGAGGGGAGGGCCTGCCCCGCGAGGGCTGCCGCGGCCCGGTGGGAGGCGCGCGGTGGAGACGGGCGGGGGGACCGACTCCCCCGGGCAGCGCCCGCTCCCCGCCCGCCCCCCGCCGCGAACCCGCGCCCCCCCCGCCCCCCGCCCGGGAGCCCGCGCCGCGCAGCCCCAACTACAAAGGAAGGAGATTCAAGGGCAGAGATCACGGCCCCGGCTCGCCTCCGAGGGCGGCCAAACGAGGCCAGAAATTCAACCCATGACGCGGGATTTGGGCACGAGATTCATTCATTTTTTTTTTTTTTTAGAGGAAATGTGAAGCTTTATTTTAAAATCCTTTGATAAAGCAGTTTCCCTTGCAGGTGTGCTGACACGGGATGTCGAGTTAAGTCTGAATGAATAAAGGATCCGAAATTGCGGGGCTTGGAGGGATTTATTTAATCGACAAATATTTGATAAGAGCACGTCGTGGTCAAGGCACCTCCCCTCCCCCGCTTACACTGCAGCGCATGCAGTGCTGCTGTCACCTAACATCTGGAAGCACCCATCATACTGGAAAATCTTAATTTACTAGTGTTTGGCCAACAGTAAAAAAAAAAAAAAAAAAAACATTGTTTCCTAAAGGCTAACATTAGTTACTTGCATGTTGCCATCGGAGAAAGATGAAGCTAAAAGAGGTTTGGTCCTAATCTAACAGGTGGGTAAGCTCCCCGGAAACCTTGTTTATCCAGCACCTGGTTCTTTGAGTGGCCCTAGACAACAAATCCAAATCAACCTGGTAGGTAGGGAGACATGGGTACTTCTCTAGGAATGAACCGAGTCCTGGAAGACCTTAGAGAAGGCCGAAGTGTATGCGGTAGTTCTTCAGCGGCTGCGAAGTTGCCCCAGCACGACAGTGCTCCAGAAGAATCCTGCTCAGGCACCACTGTAGCCCCAGGGCAGTCTCAAGGACACACCTGGGCGTAGCTGACTTCTAGAACCAGGCCTGGAGCAGGCCAGGAAGTCAGCTGATCTGAGGTTACAGCTGATCTTTTCCCCTTGTAGTTTTCAAGGGGAAAAATTCTATATTATTAGGTCCGAGACCATGATAGACCTCAGTTCAGACCAATTAAATCAGAATTTCTGGAGATAGGCTTCTCCAACAGTGTGTCTTTAATTTCTAAGATTTATCTATTTATTGTAGAGAGAGAGAGAAAAAAAAAATCTCAAGCAGACTCCCTGCTGAGCATGAGCCCCACCCACCCCTCCCCCACCCCTCAGGGCTCCATCTAACAACCCGACAACTTGACCGGAGCTGAAACCAACAGCAGGACACCCAATCAACTGAGCCACCCAAGTACCCCAACCAACAGTATTTTTCAAAAGTGCTCTTAATGTATATAGAGCCAAGGGTTCAACCACAGGCAGTGACATTAAGAATCAGATCAGTGTTTCTTCTCAAACTGATGTACTTACATGGTAGGGGAATCTCATAAAATGTAGCTTCTGATTCAGTGGTTCTGGAGTAGAATTTGAAATGCCACATTTCTAACAATCTCCCAGGTAATGCCAAGGCTGATGGTCTCCATAGAGTATTTTGAGAAAAAAAGAGGTAACCGGCAAATTCCTTGAGATAAAGGCCTCATTAAGTACAAGTAATTGCAGAGCCTATCAACTCTGTAAATGGTTCAACATGGGTGTGTTCATTTGTTTTGCTATTACTATTCTTGGGGGGGAGAAAACACTTTTTTTCACTCATTGTTGTAGTAACAAATTATCCCAAACCTAGTGATTTACAGCAATATATATGGACTAGCAGTTTCTGTGAGTCAGAAATCTAGGAGCAGCTTCCCTTGAGTTTTCATTAGATAGCAATCAAGACGTTGATTGGGGCTGCAGTTATCTGAAGCTCTGACTGGCACCAAAAGACCTATTTCTTACATGGCTCATTCATATTGTTGGCAGGAGCCCTTTAGATCCTCACCAGGAACGCTTCTCTATAGGGTCACTTGAGTGTTGGAACAACACGTCAGCTGCTTCCTCTAGAGTAAGCATTCATGAGAGAACAAGGTAGAAACCATTATGTCATTCCCATACTATCCTGTAAGTTATGCAGCTCAGCCCTGTTCAGTGTGGGACACTGGGGGTATGACTACCAGGAGTCAGGGATTATTGGGATCATCTTGCAGGCTGGTCATGAAGACTTCAATCACTCAAGCTTTAGGACCTTGATATATACACATTTTCTCACTCAAAGATTTCTGACAAAGGTTTGGCCCTTCTTAAATCGTGAACGCAATGAATATGCCAGTATTATAACATTATTACCTAACTTTAAATCCCTAAATAAAGATTACTATTTCTCAACAAGGGTGAGGGCCAAAGAAAAAGAATTTCCAAAGCTGTTACTTAGTTAAAATTATGCTCTTGCATTAATTTGTTTAAAGAATTTTATTCCTAACCCTCATATAAGAATTAAGATGTGATCATTTTTCATAAGATATATATTTAATGTATATGGTACATACCAGGACCCAGTTTGCCAAAATTTGGATATTTATTGTGGTGGGAAAAAATTTCAGCATTACAATCCTAATGCAAACAAAACTGAGAGTTCTAGGTAAGCAACAATTAATTGGGGTTGCCTCATAGTAGAACCAAAGCAAATTCTCTTTTAAGCTATTGCAGAATCTGCAGAGTAGGATATTTCAACTGGTATTTCCCTTGTTGAGATACCCCTTTTTTGTAACCATGAAACACTATCTGATATGCTAATCAAGTGTCATTACAGAGATGATCTAATTCTCTTTGACGGTTGTGAGGCCTACCAATTCAGTTGGCCAGGACCTGAATTGAAAGGGCTTCATTCGGAGGGACTGGCCTGGCCTCTTCACCACCTGGAAGTTGGCCTTGACCTTAGCTCTCTGTTGGTGGTAGATTCTCTGTATCCTTTCCTCGGCCCTCTTAATCTAACACTTGTCTGAATAAAAACTTTTGGGCAGAGTATTTTTTTTTTTTTTTTTTTTTTGGTGCAGAATGCTTTAAAAATGGCTTCATTTCTATGCTACAGAGAACTTAAGAATTTCAATCCAAAACCTTTTCTCCGTTTTTTTTGTATGATTACAAAGGACCCCTTTCAGCTCTTGATGTATAATAATTTTAAATCACCAAGTATCCAGTGAACATGAACATATTCTTGATGATATCCAAGAGAAGTCTTTTAAAAACCATTTGGGGCAGAAAATTTCAACTAGGCATGAAGGGAAGGTAATTGTTTTTTGTTCTCTACACTTCTCCTTAGATCACAATTTCAGAATTTTGGAACTGCCTTTTCACCAAATGGTAACTCCCCGCCCTCCCCTCCCCCCCCTCCTGGACCAAGAAATACAATGGAAATTTTTATTTAGCATTATTTGTTTAAATGAGATTTCATTGCATAACTTCTTTGTGGAGCTTTATATAAGAAAATTTGCCTTGAATATTTGCTGATTTTGCTTCGGGCTCCTTTACTTTTCCAATGCATTGGCTAGTCTTCATTTCTGGCCAGAAGCTTCTGCTCTTAGAGGCAGTTTTCCAGCTCCATTATTTATTACGGTAAAGATGCTTACAAACCTTTTAGACTGCACTGTGCTGAGACTTTCTGCTGTCTCATGTTTTCATTCCTTTTTACTAATGCCAAACATTTCTCCCAGAAACAAAAATGATGAAACAACTATTTTCAGTGAAAGGGCCTGGTGACTATGGACTTGAGTTTTTGAAACTGAGCAATATTTTTTATTTCATAATCTTTAATGTCGATAAATTCTGGTGGTTTTCATCAAGCTTTAACAGGAAAGGGCATAAAGCAAAGCAGGTCAGAAAGAGACTCTCTCCCCTTACTCCATAACCTGAACCTAGACTGGAAAAAAGATTCAGATGAACTTCTCTTATTTGTTGTTTCACCTTGGGAGCTTTGCTGTCCTTTAGTCATGATTCTTACAGCACTTTACAAATATATTAATGACTTCTTTGCAAATATATGTGAAGGAATGATTAAAACTACCTTTTCAGGTTCAGAAAATTCACACTTACTGGTTAACGATGTAGGAAAAAATGTTAGGGTTTGCAGCCAATGGCCAAGAAAGAATTCTTATATTTGCAAGGTGCAAAGAAATGTGGTTTTATTAAAGCTCAGGGACAGGACTGGTGGGCAGAAAGAGCCACACAGAGGTCATCACATACTCTCAAGTTGGGAGGGGGTTTGGGAATAGCATAAATCTCTAAGGAATTTTGGAAGGGAGGTTTCCAGGACCCTGAGGGGGCTGGCTATTGTTGGGAAAAGGTCATTTATTACCCTCTAATAAAACCTTAGTCATGAGACCCTTCAGATGTATATCATGGGCCACATGCTTGGAGAATGATTGCCAACATGTATCTTGGGGAGTTTAGAGATAAAGGAAGTTTCTAAAGGAATTTTTATATGTTAAAGTAGACTTA